TGATCTCAGCTCACCACAACCTCTGCCTCCCAGGTACAAGTGATTCTCGTCCCTCAGCCTCTCAAGTAGCTGAGACTACAGGCACATGCCACCATGCCTAGCTAATTTTGTATTTTTAGTAGAGACGGGGTTTTACCATGCTGGCCAGGCTGGTCTCAAACTCCTTACCTCAAGTGATCCACCTGCCTTGGCCTCCCAAAGTGCTGGGATATCAGATGTGAGCCACCTGCATGACCTAATCACTCTCATCATTATTATGATGTTCGTTGTCATTTTCATTTTCATTCTTATTGTTCTCCTTCCGTCTCAAGAGAGGAAGAATGGGTTTGAATAGGTTCAGACAGGAAGGCTTTCCGCGGTGGCTCACTCCTGTAATCCCAGCACTTTGGGAGACTGAGGTGGGAGGATCACCTAAGGTCAGGAGTTCGAGACCAGCCTGGCCAACATGGTGAAACCCCGTCTCTATTAAAAATACAAATATTAGCTGGGCGTGGTGGCGGACACCTGTAATCCCAGCTACTCAGGAGGCTGAGGCAGGAAAATCGCTTGAAACCAGGAAGCAGAGGTTTCAGTGAGCTGATATTGTGCCACTGCACACCAGCCTGGGCAGCAAGAGCAAAACTCTGTCTCAAAAAAACAAAAAAAAACAAAAACAAAAAAAAACGCAGAAGGTCTTCTAAAGAACTTACAGTCCCAGTGCAAGGCAGCACACATGTACACACAGTGATGAGCACCATGAGGCACACATGAGAGGTCCAGGGAGTGGGTAGGTTTGTCTGGGTCTCAAGGATGCAAGATAAAGGAGGGGCAGTATGCTGGGGGAATTTGGTAGACTGGAAGCGGGGACAGCGGTCTAGACTTGGGACAAAATGAACGAGAGATGTTTAGGGATACTGGGGAAAAAAATTAATTCAGTAAGTTTTTGGCAGCTGTTTTTCCTCCCCAGCCACTTGAAAAAGCCAAGAGAATCTGACAGTCACAATGCTTCAATCCAAGAGAGTTTGTCAGAGTCATTAGGGAAATGGACAGCAGAATTTTTGGGTGGGAGATGATGATGGTGCAGGGAAAGTGGGTAAAACTTCACGTAATATTTATATGCTCCACAGTTTTAGAAAGAAGAGGACGGATCTCTCCTTCGACAACCGTCAGGATAGATCAGCAAACTCTTAGAGTGGATAGTGGAAGATAAGTCTGTAAAAGTAATTTAGAGACACATTAAAGAAGCTTAAGGAATTGGACTTTGATTCAGTGCTGTGAAATACGTTCATTCTAAAGATATTGACATGCAGATTTTTAATGTGATGAGCTCTTAATTTGTCCTGTAAACTTGGATATTTCATGTTTTCTTAAAATGAATCACTCTGGTATCCACATATCAGCATATTATCTATAGATGCTACTGTATGTGGTTTTTCTTCTGTTGATGACAAGTGCCTCCCTGTCAGCTCGAAAGGCATTTTCTACTAATACATCTTTTTCAGATGAGTAAGCATGCCAAGAGAGATGAATCTGGTTCTGAGTTAGTATTAAGTCATGAATTATTAAAGAGCTTCTGTAGAGGTTCCAACTCTTTCCACTCAGGTTTTGCCCAGACTGGCTGCAAAATAACTAAAGCAACGTCGTCTCTTATTTCATGGAACATTTTTCTGATATTCTAACCTGGGTTTTCCTTACTTCATATCCCTTTCTTGTCAGCAGAATTTCCTTTTAATTTTGGTGCTTTCAGTTTATCTATGGCAAGATCTTAGATTTGTGATCTTTCTTTCCATCTCAAAAAAGATGGAGTCTTGCTGTGTTGCCCAGGCTGGAGTGCAGTGGCGCGATCTCAGCTCACTGCAACCTCCCTCTCCCAGATTCAAGCGATTCTCATGCCTCAGCCTCCTGAGTAGCTGGGACTACAGGCGCACGCCACCACACCCAGCTATTTTTTTTGTATTTTTAGTAGAGACAGGGTTTCACCATGTTGGCCAGAATGGTCTCGATCTCTTGACCTCGTGATCCACCCACCTCGGCCTCCCAAAGTGCTAGGATTACAGGCATGAGCCACCGTGCCTGGCCTGTGATCTTTTTAAAACCAAAATTTGTCTTGATTGCAAAGCAGTTTGATATGTTTGGAAACATGTATCACAAAATAAATATTTAACTTTTAAAAACAACAAACCTTTAATGGCATTCGTTGTCATATGACTGTATCAGCTTTCTTCCAACTTTCTATCACTTGTAATAACTCATCAATATTTTTTAAAACAATAATCTTGTTTTATTCAGTGCAAAACTTTCAGAGAAGTATTTAGGTAAATTGAAATTTTAGGTAATCAGAGGAAACATTACCTAGTCTAGGTGATGAATTTGATATATGAAGAATCTGTATATACACACAAACACATATGTATACACATGTACACATGCATACAGATATGTATTATATCATATAAACATTGTAATATGATTATAGTTATATTCATATGTAATTGATACATCATTTAAGATTAAAGTCCCTTAAATTTTTGTATTTTAAAATAATGTAATATAGACTAGGTATTGATAAAGTCTTTAAAATTGTTACTATAGAAGTTTTTGTTTTTGTTTTTTGAGACAGTCTCTCACTGTGTAACCCAAGCTGAAGTGCAGTGGTGTAATCTCATCTCACTGCAACCTCGACCTCCTGGGTTCAAGCAATTCTCTGGCCTCAGCCTCCTGAGTAGCTGGGACTACAGGTGTGCGCCACCACGCCAGGCTAATTTTTTGTATTTTAGTAGAGATAGGGTTTCACTTTGTTGCCTGGGGTAGTCTCGAACTCCTGAGCTCAGGCAATCCGCCCGCCTCAGCCTCTCAAAGTGCTGGGATTACAGGCATGAGCCACCGGGCCCAGCCTAAATTGTTACTATAGAAGTATCTTTAAAAGAACACAAAATTACAAACCATAAAGTTTTTTAAAAGACATACTGTACTACATTAAAATGATGAGCTGTTTTTTCAAAATATACGTTGAGACAGTGAAAAGGCAAAGTGTAGACACGGGGAAGATATTTACAATCCATAGATCCCACAAAAGACCCTTATTCAAGTTACTTTAAAAATGGGCCAGGCACAGTGGCTTACGCCTGTAATACCAGCATTTTGGGAGGCCACGGCAGGGAGATCACCTGAAGTTAGGAGTTCACGACCAGCCTGGCCAACATGGTGAAATCCCATCTCTACTAAAAATACAAAAATTAGCCAGCTGTGGTGGTGCACACCTGTAATCCCAGCTACTTGGGAAACTGAGGCGGGAGAATCGCTTGAACCTGGAAGGTGGAGGTTGCATTGAGCAGATTGGACCACTGCACTCCAGCCTGGGCAACAGAGTGAGACTCCATCTCAAAAAATAAAAAGAAAACACCAATAAATAAATAAAAATATCTATAGATCAATAAAAAAGATATCCAATTTTAAAATGGGCAAAAGACTTGTTCAGGCGCTTTAAAACTTTACAAAAGGAACACAGCCAATGAATGTATGAAAAGAATCTTGATCTCGTTAGTCATCAGTGAAATGCAATTTAAAAAACACAAATGAGTACCATCATATATTCCAGAATGGCCAAAATTAAAGACTGACATTGTCCAGTGTGACAAAGATGTGGAGATTCTAGAACTTCCCCATGCTGCTGAAACAGTGTAGCCCAGAGACTCCACTCCTAGGTGACATCTAATGCCGTGTGAGAGAATATTTATTAACGAGATATTCTAGATCAAGTGTCAGCAAGCTATAGTCCACAGCTCTATTTGTAGGGCTCACAAGCTAGAAATGCTTTCTACGTTTTTAGTAGGTTGTTAAGAAAAAGAAGAAGAAGAAAAATAATATGCAACAAAGACCATTTGTGGCCCACAAAGCCTAAAATGTGGCAAAAAGCTTGCCAACTCTTTACCAAAAAAAGTGAACATACCAAAAAATTTTGCCAAAAATCTTTGCTGACCCTTGTTCTGGATCTAAAACTGGAGACAAGCCAAATGTCCACCAACAATAGAATGGATAAGTAAATTGTGGTATGTTTAGACAATGTGTTTAGACAACGGAATAGCCTACAGAATGGGGATGAACAAGCTATTGGCATGCAACAGCGTGGCTGACTCTCATAAACAAATGCTACGAACAGGAGCCAGACAAAAAGTATGTATCGTGTGTGTTCATTGACGTAAAATTAAAAAACAGATAAAAGTAATCTGTAATGTTAAAAGCCGGGATAATGGTTACCCTTGGGTGAAGGATGGTTTGTAGCACAAAGGATGCTTTTGAGGTCCTGGTTAATATTCTGCTGCTTGATCTAGGTTTTGGTTATGGGTATATGAAATTTCCTTGAACTGTACACTTATGATTTGTGCACATTTCTATAAGTTGTTACACTTTAATTAAAAGTTTATTTTAAAAGTCATGCCTATACTTGGGAAAAAAAGCATCTGCACCAACAATGAAACTATACCAATCACAAAATGATATTCCTCCATCATCAGGAAATCATCTACTAAGAGCCTTCTCACTATTCCCTTATCCACCAGAGCTACATCTTATTTGGAACAAACATTTACATTGCCCCTCATCCAATCTGGTCATTTCAAAAACTGGCAGTTTTTTCGTAGTCTGACACTAGTGGCTTCAGCACGTAACTAGCTTATGCAAAGGTTGCTGTTAGGATGGGCCAAAGCTCTGTGCTTTGAGTGTATTGGAAGGTAGGCCTTCTCAAAACCATGAAGATGGGTGTAAATACAAGTCTGTGCCTCTGGATGTGCTTATGATTCTTTTTGACCCGTATCAAACCATGTTTTCTCCTCTCTTTTCTCAAGGGGGTGTACACCGCCTTGAGTCAGTTGAAGAATATAACGAGCTGATGGTGCGGAATGGGGACCCCCGGATCCGGATGTTGGAGGTCTCCCGAGATGGCCGGAAACACTCCCTCCCACAGCTGCTGGACTCTTCTAGTGCCTCGCAGGTCCGACCAGGGCTGCAGATCTTTCAAAGACCATAAGGGCTTCCAAGTTAAGAAGAACTGCCCATCCACGCAGGCCAGGATTGTCTGGGGCTAGAGAAATGGGATAGAAAGAGACAGTAGACAAAGTGAGGTCTACCCAGAGAGGCTACGAAGAAGTTGGCCTAATATTTGAAAATAGTGGGGGAAAAATCCCTTATTGGATCTCAAAATCTTCATCTCCTTCCTATTGTGTGTTTTAGAACCGAGAGGTGCTTCCAATTGCCAGGAGACGATGGCGTCTCACAGTCTGTGGTGAACCAGCATTGCTTGATTAATAGGAGCGGCCTGTGTCAGTGTACCAACTGTGCGGGTGGGTGTGGGCACATGTATGAGAGAGGGAGTGTGCGTGTGTGCCTGCACATGCATCCATGGCTCACCTGGAGTCCTACCTGTTACACAGTAATGACTCAAGCAGCCAAGGTCATAGGGGGCTGTAGAGGGGGCTGTACTAGCTGCTCGAGTTAATGTTCCAGAACCTGCTCCCATCGGAGCTCTGGACTCCACAGCCCTGCATGAGGGCCACTCCTTTACCTCGGCATCCTCAACCTGGTAGAAACTGGGCAGGTGGTCTCCTAACCAAGGCTAAGGCAGGCGCAGTACCTGAGAAACCTGTGGGGTATTCTTTGAGTCCTGGCACCACTAACCAAGGGGCTCAAGAGGAACCATTAGCAGCTTGTCCTAAGCCCTATGATGAAGCAGAGGTAGAGTATGGGTGTGGCAGCAGCGACATCCACTCGTGCTTGGAAAGCTGTAGAGGGTAGAGTTCTAAAGGACCTGGGTCAGGGCATCTGAGGCAGGCCTGCACTTTTGGTGTGTTATGACCCTTTTACAGATGGAGCAACTGAATCTCAAAGGGATTAAATATTTTGCCCAAGGTGATAGGCCAGAACCTCTGTAAAGCTTTAAAGGTGCTTGAATTGGGTCAATTATGTGTCAGGATAAAGTATTTCTGTTGGTTCCGATGCCCTTTATCTGACCAGGAGAATAACAAGTGCCCATGTTTCAGGGACAGTGGCTGATCAGCCCATTTTGGGTTGAATTCACCCAAAGGCAACTTGAGGGGCACTGGGGCACTGAGTAAGAGCAGAGAAGAAACTGGCATGAGGCCAGTCAAACTTGTCCAGGCCCAGGACTGCGACATGCTCAGAATCGTCCTGTTGGACCCACAGAGTCAGGGGAGATCAGAACATTGGAAGATCGCCCAACTGTCAGTCGTTTTGTTTTTATTTTTTGAGACTGAGTCTCACTCTGTTGCCCAGGCTAGAGTTCAGTGGTGCAATCTCGGCTCACTGCAACCTCCGCCTCCCGGGATCAAGCGATTCTCCTGCTTCAGCCTCCCAAGTAGCTGGGATTACAGACACCTGCCACTACGCCCGGCTCATTTTTGTATTTTTAGTAGAGACGGGGTTTCACCATGTTGGCCAGGCTGGTTTCAAACTCCTGACCTCAAGGAATCCAACTGCCTCAGCCTCCCAAAGTGCTGGGATTACAGGCATGAGCCACTGCACCCGGCCTTGTCAGGCTGTGTGAAAGATGAGGGAGGGTTTACTGCCATCATGACCACAGATCGAGCGTTGAGGTAATTTCTTAACTGACCTGCTGAGGAAACCCGACGGCATTTGTAGCCCAGAAACATCCATCTCTAACCACACTTCCAGGGATCAGGAAGCCCAGGCCAGGGTAGAAAGTTTGAAAGGAGAGTTTTTCCCTCTCTTTTCAAGAAAACTCTCCTTTCTCTTGTCTCCTCTTTTTATTTTCTGCCCTTTTATTTTTCTCCCAGGATTCATCTTTCTTATTTCTTGGTCTGTCTCCCTCCACTATAAAGTATTATCTAGAACCGGGCTCATGCCCGTAATCCCAGCACTTTGGGAGGCCAAGGTGGGAGAATTGCCTGAGCCCAAGTTTGAGACCAGCCTGGGTAACATGGCAAGACCTTATCTTTACAAAAAAACAAAAAAATTTTTAATTAGCTGGGCATGGTGGTGCATACCTGTGTTCCCGGTTACTTGGGAGGCTGAGGCAGGAAGATTGCTTGAGCCCAGGAGGTCAAGGCTGCAGTGAACTGTGATCATGCCACTGCATTCCAGCCTGGGTGATAGAGTGAGAGACCCTGTCTCAAATAAACAAATAAAATAAATAAATAAATATTAGCTAGATTAGACCTCTCCAGTAAAACTTTCAGCAGCGATGGAGATGTTTTTTATTTGTACTGTCCAATATGGTAGCTGTATTTGTCTACAAAGCACATGAAAAGTGGCTAGTAGGGAGTGTACTTTTAATTTTAAATAATTTTAATTTAAATATAGATACCTACAAGTGGCAAGTGGCTACCATATTAGACAGCACAGGTCTAGAAAGTTCAAGGAGATCCTGGAAACTCTCTGAGAGACTGGTGAAGCCTACAGGCCTTTGATTCCTTCTGGTTCCCAAAAGAGAGATGGAGTGAAGTACTGCTGAAGATTGGTGACCAGAGAAATTGTTCGCTTAGGAATTCACACATAAATCTCTGTATTCAAGGACTGAAAAACCCAGACTATGTCTGGCCATCTCTGCAGTGGTTTCATTAAAAGGGTAGTAACCTTGCCAAGCCCACATCATTTTTTTTAATGATTGAAAGTCTGGGAGGCCAACATTGTTGGCAGATATTTTGTAAAACTGCAAAAAATATAATTGTTCTAAGCTGCCAAAAATACAAACATATCATTGGGGACATCTAATTTTTATGTTTGAATGTAGTATACACAGAAACCCAGGATAAAACTGTTTCACGATGTCTCTTTTCTCATATTAAACATGAAGTGATTTTTTTGGCTTAGGTAGAATATCTGCATCAGTGAAGAAGTTTATTATTCTAAGAAGAATAGCAAGGAGCAAGATTACAGAAGTGCTTTGGTGATAGAGTCACTTGATCTCTTGTTCATGTTCTAAGGAGCGCAGCCTGCTTACACGCGTGTATATTATGAGTGATGGACACAAAAAGGGGTGAGATTGGAGCTGCTGTGTGTCAGGAAGGGAAAGTGTGGCTCATTATGGGAAAATACTTTATTTTCCAAATGTGAGAGACGAGAACTGAAGCTGCTGCCGTCTCTCAGCGGGATGTTTTATGTGGAATAACAGTTGTCTGGGTTTGTGGTTTGGATTTTATAAGAAACAAGGGCATGCTGAGTTTTTGATCGAGCGAATTAAGCTTAAAATGGCAAGATACTTTCTAACCATCATTGTGAACTTGGGATGGAGGCAGGGGTGACTACCAAGGGAAAGCCCGACCACAGGTGGTCATCCTGTATCACTGAGGCCTCTTGTTTCTGGTTCCTGACTCCATTCCAGATGTAGACTCTGTGGAATGTGGTCGAGGAAAGAGCAACACAAGGTGCTTGAGGTCCCCAAGCAGTTCTTTATGTGGGGGGAAGAAGCCATGGCAGTCTATTGTAGTAGGAGCTATTTCTCTGATGGTTTTTTTGAGACGGAGTCTCACTCTGTCACCCAGGCTGGAGTGCAGTGGCACAGTCTCCACTCACTGCAACCTCTACCTCCCAGGTTCAAGCGATTCTCCTGCCTCAGGCTCCCGAGTAGCTGGCACTACAGGCACCCACCACCACACCCAGCTAATTTTTGTATTTTTATTAGAGACAGGGTTTCACCGTGTTGGCTAGGCTGGTCTCAAACTCCTGACCTCAGGTGACCCGCCTGCCCTGGCCTCCCAAAGTGCTGGGATTACAGGCGTGAGCAATGGTGCCCAGCACCTGCGATAGTATTTATAGGAACCTTTTTTAAGTCACTGAACCAGAGAGAAATGTCTAGTACTGAAGACATCTAAGATTTTCAAAGTCTGAGTGTATCTTTCTGCCAGATACCACAATAGAACAGATGAGAGTAATACCTGACCTTGCCGTGTGCTGACTTTTAGGAATACCACATTGTGAAGAAGTCTACCCGCTCCTTAAGCACGACTCAGGTGGAATCTCCTTGGAGGCTCATTCGGCCATCCGTCATCTCAATCATCGGGCTGTACAAAGAAAAAGGCAAGGTGAGCTCTTTTCTGCAGACTGTTCTGCCTTCTGGGTGAATGTTAGCACACCTTTTTTTGTTTTATTTTATTTGTTTTTGTTTTTTGTTTTTAGAAACAGGTTCTTGCTCTGTTGCCCACGCTGGAGTGCAGTGGTGCAATCACGGCTCACTGCAGCCTTAAACTCCTGGGCTCAAGCAGTGCTCCCACCTTAGCTTCCCAAAGCACTGAGATTATAGGCATGAACCACTGCACCCAGTCACACATATTCTTGAAATGGTTACTTTTTATTTTGTTTGTCTTTGCATGAAATGAAAAGTAACAGGTATAAAGAAGGACAGATAAAGTGGCCTCTGTATGGATTCAAGTGGATTCCCTGGCATTCTGTGCTGTAGGTCTCAATGTGAGATGACCATGCCCTCTTCACTCCTACGATGTGAGGAGTCACCAGCACTTGGCTGCTAAGGCCAGAACCAAGGGTGCAATGAATGACCCTCAACTTTTATCTCCAGTGAAAGAAAAGCAGAGCCTGCAGCTTCAGGGAATACCCTTGGTTATCCTTTTCAGTGAATTTCATGGCATTGCCATTATCATAAAGAAAATGATATGAATAACTTGACATTACACAAAAATCAAAGTATTCATTTTGATATTACACAAAATGGAAGGACAAAAGAAAACAAACGTGGCGCCTGCATATAGTGGGAAATGACTCTTACGAGCTGTTTAGTAGAACCATATGAAATTGCCATTTGTGGACGTCAGAGATTGTCAAATATCAGCAATTTGCTATGTTTCTGCCTAAAACTTTTTCCCTTAATGTAATGCATGGCTAGTACAACGTAATAGATCTGAGGAGGGGAATAAGGAAGAGAACACAAACTTGAGTTTGCAGCTAGTTGCTTCAGTTTAACTCCAGGCCTGGTTGGGGAGGGCACTTCAGTTAAATACTACAATGGGACAGATGCCTTCAGTTAAATAGTACAATGGGAAAGATGCCCTCAGTTAAATACTACACTGTCAACCTGGACTCTCATCTGCTTCGGATCTAGGGCCTTGGCTTTAGTATTGCTGGAGGTCGAGACTGCATTCGCGGACAGATGGGGATTTTTGTCAAGACCATCTTCCCAAATGGATCAGCTGCAGAGGATGGAAGACTTAAAGAAGGTAGGAGAAAAGCCTCTTGTATCCTCAGTGACAGTGACTTTGATCCCATGAGAATCTGCCTCTTCACAAGATGTGAGTGAATGCCACAGTACCCAGTAGACCTGGGCAGAATCTGCCTGGCACAGTCAGTAGAACCTGAGCTTCACTTTCCCTAGTTGTAAACTTGGAATATTAACGCCTGCTTGAAGAGTGGCTGTCAGGATTACATGACATAATATGTGCAAAGTGGCTTACTAGTTTTGTTGGGGTCTTTAGTGTCTCTCTTGTCCACTTGGTCTAATCACGTTCCTTTCCTTGAACATTTTGAGAGTTTGGAATCAATTCTTACCTCAGGGGTGGTGTAGAAGCAGAGTGCCTGGTCATTAGTGGATATTTAATATCTTGCTACAGAAATCAACCACCACATAGTCTGGTTCCTAAATGAACATCTTTTTAAACAAAACAAAACCAGAAAAAACCTTTTTTTTAAATGAGACAGGGTCTCAATCTGTCACCCAGGCTGGAGTGCGGTAACATGATCATGGCTCACTGCAGCCACAACCCCCTGCGCTCAGGTGATCCTCCCACCTCAGCTTCACGAGTAGCTGGGACTACATGCGCACACCATCATGCCCGGCTAATTTTTGTAGAGATGAGGTTTCGCCATGTTGCCCAGGCTGGTCTCAAACACCTGGACTCAAGTGATCCGCCCACCTCAGCCTCACAAAGTGCTAGGATTACAGGCATGAGCCACTGTGTCTGGCCCTAAATGAACATCTTTTAATTCTCAATAGCACCTACCATTTTGCCACACGTGAATATACTAGACAAGTGCTTCTGAATGCAAATTAAAGTAATATTGAGGTGCCAAGTCTTACCTTGCAAATAATTTTTTAAATGTTTAAATATGTCATTTTATAATGCTATAAACACAAAGCAATTCCACATATTTAATTATTTCGCTGACTGCCTTACAAACCTGTCAAATTGGCATTTTGGAGTGACCATCTTAGAAACGGAGAAGTGACACTCAGAGATGTTGTATGACTAGAAACTTGTCCCATCCTTAGTAAACAGCAGAAGTGAAATTTAAACCCAGCTTTGTGATCCCAAGTTCAACTCACTTTCCCACCTTACTTGAGAAAATAAAATGTAAATAGGCCAAAGTTTCCTTTCTGTACAGACGCAGTAGCTGCTTTTGATAGAATATCTAGAATAGATATACATATCTTTATATTTTCTATGAAATATTTATCTGGATTAACATTATATACTTTTTATAAAGTAGAATTGCACAAAAGTTCTGAACACACACACAGGTATATATATATTTATTTTATTGTACTTTAAGAGGCAGGGTCTTGCTCTCTCATCCAGGCTGGAGTACAGTGGTGTGATCATAGTTTACTGCAGCCTCAAACTCCTGGGTACAAGGGATCCTCCTGCCTAAGTCTCTCAAGTAGCCCAGACCACAGGTGTGCACCACCATGCCCAGCTAATTTTTTTTTTTAAGAGATGGGGTCTCACTATGTTACCCAGGCTGATCTCGAACTCCTGGCCTCAAGTGATTGTCCCACCTCTGCCTCCCAAAGTGCTAGGATTACAGGCCTAAGCTATAGCACCTAGCCTGCACATATTTTAAGTGTCTTTCACCAGAGCATGAATCCTGATTTTTTTCCTCTCACTTATTATTATACTTCCTTCATGAAATAATTAAAGTAGAATATTTTTAATTATCTTCAAAAATGCTGTGACTCTTCAGTTCAATTGACCTAAACTTTAGGTGCTTTTGTGTTATGCTGGTTCTTTTTTTTTGGAACCGATAAGAGTGAATTGGAATCTCCTGTTTTTTAGGCAGAGCAACCATTGACTCCTGTATGCTAACAATAAGACGTGACCAGGCTTAATTCTCCCACGGCGGAATATTTATTTCTCTCTCTTAGAGGAAGGCTTAACTCCCAGGTGGTGTTTGTGTTGAGTTTTAGAACAATATAAAATTCTAGCAGAGCGTTTTTATAATGGATGTGCCATGTGTTCACTTAATTGAAATTCATCCTGCAAGGCTGGTAAAATGGAGCAAAACGGGGGGAAAAAATCAATAGTTAAGAAAGGTTAATAGCACTTGATTCTCCTAAATACTGTTTTTTCATATGTGTTCATTTACAAGAAATGTAAGTCATCGGAATGGATTTTTAACCTGTTGAGTGACATGTCTTTAAAAAACCTTGCATACATTTTAAGAGTGCGAGTAATCATTTTAATATTTGCTCCTTTTCCCCTATGGAAACAACCTAAAAACATCCACCTCCTCGCCTAATTGAGTAATTGGTTATGCCAGGTGATTTTTTAAACAGAGATTACTTCACTTATTTTATAGCTTCTGTAATTGCATTAAGGGGAAGCCACATAACAAATGCATGGGGCACAGCTACATTTTTGTAACTCATCTACAGGATTCCTTGAATCGTGCACACAGTGTGCTCCTGGGATTGGCTGTCTGCGAGAGGTGACAATGTGTGTTCTTATGCTGCTTTGCACTTTCTTATAGGCGTACAGTGTCCCTCTTCTCTACAGCAATGCTGTGCAAAGTTCATCTGTTCTCTCTGGGGCGTCTTTGTAGTGTTTTTGATGAGCTGTTATTCCAAAAACACAGGCCATGTCACAAGAGTGCAAACCAGAAACAAGCTCTGATAAGTCAACAGGATGTCCAAGTTCTTTTATATTCCTAGCAGACACTGTCAACAGCTTGAAAAATGACCTGACTATGCCTTCTTAGAGTTGAAAATAATAGGAGAGCTGGGGCAGGGGGCTGTGGGCGAGCATGTTCCTGCACATGTCTGGCAAATTAACATGACCCCGCAGTCATCTCTGAGATAGAAGCTTATAGTAACGTGCCAGCTTACTGACGAGAACCTGGAACTGCATCAATGAGACTATTTCTGGGCCAGGAGGGTAGCTCACACCTGTAATCCCCGTACTTTGGGAAGCCAAGGCGGGCAGATCCAGGAGTTCAAGACCAGCCTGGCCAACATGGTAAAACCCTGTCTCTACTAAAAATACAAAAAAAAATTGGCCATGTATGGTGGCGTGCACCTGTATTCCCAGCTATTCAGGAGGCTGAGGCATGAGAATAGTTTGAACCTGGGAGGCAGAGGTTGTAGTGAGCTGAGATTATGCCACCATACTCCAGCCTGGGTGACTGAGCCAAAGCAATACTCTGTTTCAAAACTTTTTTTTTTTTAATTAAAAAAAGACTATTTCTGGGCTGCCATTCCTCAGTAATATCTTAGCAAGTTTTTTGTTATCATTAAAGCTATTTTCCATACACCATGCTGATTCTCTGGGCTCGGGGAACTTGTCTTTCTACAAATATAGGAGTGGCTTCTCAAATGTTCTATGTGTTCATGCCTCATTGCCAGTGGATTTAAGTTTTTAAATAATGACTATGAGAAACACCTTTGAACTAGATTTCTGCAGTTTGATTTCTAAACATAGGACATCTGTTGTCAAACTTGGCAATGGCTAAAAAAATATTTTCATGCTTCCCGTAGTTATTTTAATTGAAGATTGAAATACAGAATTACTGCAAAAGAATATTGTCATGAATTGTCCCATTTTGTGACATTCCTGGGAGCTAAGCTAAACAATAAAAGTCATTTTATATGGTAGTAAATCAGGGACCATATGGTATCCCATAATAGGTCTGACTGCGCAGTTAAATTCCAGGAAATTAAAGGTTAATGTTAATGTAATTCTCACATTTGATCACTAGGGGATGAAATCCTAGATGTAAATGGAATACCAATAAAGGGCTTGACGTTTCAAGAAGCGATTCATACCTTTAAGGTAACAACATTCTTATTGATCTCCTTTATCCTATTTTCCTTCCTTTATTTCCTTCTGGCTTGGGTTTGGTGAGTTTTTTTTTTTAACCCTTTGATATGAGGACAGTCCAAATGTTTCAGCCCACCTTTCCTCGTTTTCTCAGCAAATCCGGAGTGGATTATTTGTCTTAACGGTACGCACAAAGTTGGTGAGCCCCAGCCTCACACCCTGCTCGACACCCACACACATGAGCAGATCCGCCTCCCCGAGCTTCAATACCAGTGGGGGAGCCTCGGCGGGAGGCTCCGATGAAGGCAGTTCTTCATCCCTGGGTCGGAAGACCCCAGGGCCCAAGGATAGGATCGTCATGGAAGTAACACTCAACAAAGGTGATAGCAGCTATTCCTTACCTTTCTCACATTTCTTGAATAACATTTTGGAATCTGCTGTTAGCTTAATTTTTCCTCATTGTTCTATGAATTATTCCTTTGGGACAATCTTCTGTCAACAACAGGTGGTCTCTACATGCACAGTGAGGTCAGGTAGAGGGATGTTAGTCACTTTAGTCAAAGTAAAGGGAAGTTACCAGTAGCATGGAGCTCTCTAAGCTCTCCCCATGAATCACTGTGTGTCAGAGGCTTGAGTTTAAAAAAAAAAAAAAAAAATTTCACGGGCCAGGCACAGTGGCTCACGCCTGTAATCCTAGCACTTCGGGAAGCCAAGGTAGGTAGATCACGTGAGGTTAGGAGTTTGAGACTAGCCTCCCCAACATGGCAAAACCCCGTTTCTACTAAAAATAAAAAAATTATCTGGGCATGGTGGCGGGCACCTGTAGTCCCAGTACTTGGGAGGCTGAGGCAGGAGAATCTCTTGAACCCGGGAGGCAGAGGTTGCAGTGAGCTGAGATTGCGCCACTGCACTCTAACCTGAACACAAGAGCAAAACTCCATCTCAAAAAAAAAAAAAAAAAATCACTGATGAGCTTAAGTCTAGGGCTAATATAAAATTTTAAAGAACAAAAGATTATAGTTAAGTGTACACTTAACACTAGTAACTAGAATTCCATGATCACCAAATCTTACTTCTTTTCATCACTGTTTCTTTTTCCTCCCCACCTACTCCAGAAACATGATGGAAGATTAAACTACCAAGAGATTAGTTGTTAAAAAGAAAAGCAAGAGAAAGCTTGAGTTTGTGTACCCAGAATAAAAACGTTACTTATAGCCTGCCTCTTTCCAAAAACAGATGTGAGGAGGTTCATTAGACTGAGCAGAGTTGACTGTTGGATAATTTAGTCCATCAGTCCGTAACTAGCTCCCAGGTTAGCCATGGGCTCATTCTATTAACAGCAGTGCCAGTGATGACAAGGAAAAGCAGAATTTACATTCTGAGTCTGGACCAGAAATAAATGGTTATTAGTCTGAATAGATATTAATTCTGTTTCAAATCGGTTACCCTTTTTTTCTAGTGATTGTGTAATTTTTGTTTTTATTTTCTTTGAATGGTGCCTCTCACAGAGCCAAGAGTTGGATTAGGCATTGGTGCCTGCTGCTTGGCTCTGGAAAACAGTCCTCCTGGCATCTACATTCACAGCCTTGCTCCAGGATCAGTGGCCAAGATGGAGAGCAACCTGAGGTTTGTTGTTTGCCTGATAGTGTGAGGTTCTGCAGTGTTCATAAATATGAAATACATATGTGTGATATTTGCTGTATTACTTTCCTTTGAGGGATGTTGAAGCTTTGAATTCTTTCCAAGAACATAGCCAAGACTACAATTAATAGCATCTCCAAAAATGTAAACGTTAATATAAATGAAATTTGGTTGAATTTGAGAACTCTAGATCTTGGCTTCCCTACTTGATTTGTTCTATTTGGTCTCAGAAGTCCAGTTTCAGAAACTTGACAAGATACAACTCTATACAGATATCTATGATTAGCTCAATATTTTCTTTCATTTTATATTCACATATGTAGAATTAATATGAAATACTGGAACTGCTCAAATGGTTCAAAATCACTTGATGCCAAAAAGTCCTGAAATTGTGCCCTTGGACAGGAGGCATTTCTTATTAAGTGTTCTCTCAAACTTTTCCTATCATTTTCCTTCCTTGTTGAATGGCCATGTCTAGGTGCCTACTTTCTGAAATCACTGAGTGTCTGATTTCTTAATCCAGATAGTTGAGTTGTAACATGGGCGTTCCGTTTACACAAGAAATATCTAGGTGTTCTATTATATAGTAATTGCAGTGAGTCAGTGCCCACCTAAACGTCACAAGAATGTACGTGTATTGCACAAAGCACCCTGTGCTAACAGTATCATCTTTCTCCCATGTAAACTTCCAAGTCCTTTAGTGGTTAAGGGATTGTCCAAATGGCATTCATTGAGGTTGCCATTTTGGGGCCCTGGTAATAGCTTATATTATGTTTTTACTTAATCATTAGAGTAAATTTCCATATGAAAAAAAATGTAGCAAATCATCCAAAGTACATTAAAGAAAATATACTTTTAGAACCCAAGGAAAAAAATCCTTTAATGACATCCCAAGATGATGTTTCTTTCTTGAATGATTCCATATGTCTGGAGCCTGCCAAATGACCATTCTTCAAATCCCATATAAAGAGTCTTTGTTCTCTCTTACTGACTTCTCTCCCTGTAATTTCCAGTCAAAATGGGCAACTTGTCCCCAATTTCTCATGTGTTCAAATTTGAAACGTTTTTACAAATTCTTGGGTAACCTTTGAGCCTCAGCTATTTCCTCCTTAAGTTATATTATAATAATCATTTCAAGATGGTAGGAAGAGAGAACTGCTGGTGGTCGAGGGGCTCTGTCATGTGATGGTTGAAAGTCAGACAGACCCGAGTTAGTTCAACAGTGTGTGACATCTGGGTGACCCCTCTGAGCCTGTATTCCTATCTGCATAATGGGAATAATTTTACTTACTCAAAGCTTTGTAATACAGCATGCTTCGTATAGTGCCTGGCATATAGTATATGCTCAAAAAATGGTAGGTTTCATCATTGTCCTTAATTTCATTTGACTTTGCTATTTCTGAAAATGCCAGTAAATATGCATTATGACCTTTGCCCACTTAAAATCGAATGTGTTTTTATAAATGTGTTGTATTTTTACATGTATGCCAATGGGAAAAGACATCATGTGATTCTTTAAAGTATGCAGAAAGTATTTCATATTGTAAACCTCTCCCAGAAGTAAAGCTATTTTAGCTTTTAAGAAGCTGGCTGCTAACACAGAGTGTGCATTCTGTTGCCCTCCCTAGCCGCGGGGATCAAATCCTGGAAGTGAACTCTGTCAATGTCCGCCATGCCGCTTTAAGCAAAGTCCACGCCATCTTGAGCAAATGCCCTCCGGGACCCGTTCGCCTTGTCATCGGGCGGCACCCTAATCCAAAGGTGAGGTGGTTCACCCTGTTCTGAACGTGGGAGGATGGTACACCTTCGTAGGATATCGTATACTCCTTGGTGAGATGGTTTTCCCAGCTGAGGATAGGCAGGCAACCTGCGGCTGGTGCCTGTGGGAAATGCATCTTTAATCCGCACTTTGTCTTCGCAGTCTTTTGCTAGAACATTTTGAGTATGTTATCTGGTAAATCTGAAACTTGTCTGGTGGGAGGTAAGAATGCTGCGTTCAGAGTACTGGCTTTTTGAGCTCTGGTGAGATACTTAACCTGTTTGTGTTTTTGCAACAAGAGAATCTGCTGAGCCTTGAACTGGACGATCTCTGTGACCCTGTCAGTTTCAAGATAAGAAGGCTTTTCTTACCACATCTTTTGTTTGGCCATATGTTGGGAATTCTCTCATCTTTAAGTTTAATGTTGAATAATTAATTTATTTTCATTTTATTTCTTATTTTATTTATTT